TGTACAGCACCACTGATAAACTTATCCAAGTGACGTCTATAGAATATTTAATCCAACAATAACAAAACACACATTCTTCTCCAGCTTGTACGGAACACTCACTCCCCAAGATAAACTACACTCTGGGTCATAAAACACACTGCAACCAATTGAAAAGAACAGAAATGCTGCCAAGTCTGGAATTAGACTAGAAATTAGTAACACAAAGATCGCTGGAAAATCCTAAGATATTTGAACATTAAACAACACACTTTCAAATAATAAATGAGTCAGAGAGGTCTCAAGAGCAGTTAAAAGTAATTGTCACAAATGACAATAAAAATAGATCTCATTAAAATTTGTAGGATACAGTGAAAATCATTCTTAAAAGGAAGCATATAGCATTGAGTATGTGGGTAACAAAGGAAAAAAAGATCTAAATTCAGCTTTCACCTTAGAAAGCCAGATAAATAAAAGCAATACAGGCCTACCAATGTGGAGGACCATTGGCAGGATTCTTCTTGAAAGAAGAGTAATTATCTCATTTTTGGCTAAACCTGGCCCTGTGAGCTGGGCTAGGTCGGGGCCTGCACTCACCTCTGCAATACACAGAGAGAAGGCTCTGCAGACAGGGTGACCTGCATGACACAGGCGAGGTCGTAGCTAATGTTCAGGGGCTGGTGCTTCAGCTCTGATGTGCAGTTTTTTATTCCCTGGAAGTCATAGCCTGTGGTCCACATCCTGATAGGCACCGAGCTGGCTAGGACTTTTCCTTCTCCCTTCCATGGGCTTGAAGTAATGCACACTGGTCTAGTTGAGGGGCTGATGTGTGGTTTTTGAAACAAGGTGACAGGGCAGTGTTTCCCCACCCCCGTAGCTCCCAAAAAACATGGGTGAGCTGGGCTGGGCTGGGCAGCCGAGCTCCACGCTGTTGGAATTGAGGGTTTGAACCTGGAGACCACAGGCTATGACTTCCAGGGAATAAAAAACTGCACATCAGAGCTGAAGCACCAGCCCCTGAACATTAGCTACGACCTCGCCTGTGTCATGCAGGTCACCCTGTCTGCAGAGCCTCCTCTCTGCGTATTGCAGAGGTGAGTGCAGGCCCCGACCTAGCCCAGCTCACAGCACGCACCTGCTTCCCGCCACTCTCATGGTCACTCATCCACGAGCCACTCCCTTCTCCACAAATGAATAAAAGCCGGGTTCAGCCCTGGCTGGAGGCCTCTGTTCTGGTTAGCCATTATGGTAGCTGGACTTAGGCCCCCTGGGCTCCCCACAACTACAAACACGCCCTCCTGTCTTTATTCTTGCTGTGGTTGCACTGGAAGTGGCAGATTGGAATGAACTCATTAGCATTAGGCTGACTTTTCCATGGGATTCCAAATCTAAACTTCTTGGACTGAGATGAGGATCAGGAGGGGCTCTATAAACACACACAGAGGAACATGAACAAACATGGCAAAACTGAAAGGCATTTAAAACAGAACAAGGTCTTTTTATCAAGATGGTGCCGAAGGCAAAGAAGGAAGCCCCTGCTCCTCCCAAAGCTGAAGCCAAAGCAAAAGCTTTGAAGGCCAGGAAGGCCGTGCTGAAAGGCATCCACAGCCACAAAAAGAAGATATGAATGTCACCACCTTCCACTGTCCCAAGACACTGTGGCTATGGAGGCAGCCCACATACCCTCAGAAGAGCACCCCCAGGAGAAACAAGCTTGACCACTAGGCCATCGTCAAGTTCCCCCTGACCACAGAGTCAGCCATGAAGATGATCGAGGACAACACACTCGTGTTCATTGTGGATGTCAAAGCCAATAAGCACCAAATCAAACAAGCTGTAAAGAAGCTCTATGACATGGATGTTGCCAAGGTCAATCCCCTAATCGGGCCTGATGCAGAGAAGCAGGCATCTGTTCGACTGGCTCCTGATTATGATGCATTGGATGTTGCCAACAAAATTGGGATCATCTAAACTGCATCCAGCTGGCTAATTCTAAATATGCTTTTTTTTCCAGTTTAAAAAAAAATAGAACAAGTTGTAGAGTCCAATCAAAGGGCTCCAGCATGGATCCCAAATATTGCCCAAAAGCCACTGCGATAAAGGGCTGGTTGCCGTTCTAAGGTGTTATTGGAAGGCGGGGCTTCCTGGGAGGAAGAGAGGTCACTGGGGACACAGCCTTGAAGGGAATATTGGGATCCCAGGCCTCTCCCTCTCTGTTTATTTTTTCTGCTCTCCATGAAATAAGAAGCTTCCTTCATCAGACACTTCCTGTGTCACCATAGCCCAAGCCACAAGGTCAAGTGATATCCCACAAAATCTCTGAGACTAGGTGCCAAAAATAAATCTTTCCTCTTTAAGCTGGTTGTCTTGGGTATTTTGCCATAGTCATCGAAAGCTGACTAACACAGAAACCAAAAAAGGATTCTCTGGGCAGATCAATAAAATTGATCTCTAGCAGGCTAACCAAGAAAAGAAAGGAGACACAAATAATTGCAAGCATGCAGGAAAGGGGCCCTCACCATTGATCTCATGGACATTAAGGGGACTGTGAAGGAGTTTTGTGAACAACTTTCTGTCCTCAAATTTGATAAGTTAGATGATGTCCAATAACTAGATGATGTTAGAGATGTTCAATTCCCTAAAAGAGATGATCTA